TAACTTAAGTACATTCAGACATCAGAAAGTGATTCTTAAATTCTAAATTCACAATTTTTCTGCTACACCTTACACTTTGTAACTATGGCTTTAATGTACGACTGATTCAGTTATAAATTTTCAGTTATAAGAAAATTGAGTTAGGTTTGTTTGTAAAAGCTTATTTACATTTAAAAAAACACCTTTTAAATACCAGTCAGTGGGTGGGTCTTTAAAACCATTACATTGAGTATATTCTAAAAAGATATCGACTCTATATTCTCCAGGAGTAAGTAGCAGCGCCAATGCCTCGTAGCTACCATTTTTTAAATCAAAAACTACAGCAGATACCACGTCCGCTCCGTAAAATGAAACACGAAAAGAATCACCGCCAAATGATTTTAATACCCCATATTTTGTATATGTGTCAATACGAATTAAAGTATGTTCACCAGCAGGACGTATAGTTACTTGACCTACTCGAGATAATTGGGAGCTTGAAGAATATCTAAATAAAAAACCTTTAAAAAAGCTACTGATTCGTTTCTATACTAGGCTACGTATTTTTATTTACTTTGAAGCAGTAATCACCGATATAGTCTAAAGATTAGACAAGATTGCAACATTATTATGCAATACGAGTATAACTTCGGTATATATAAAAAAATAAACCTTGGATCCAATAAAAATAACGATTTTTCTTGACAAGACTCGATCATTTCCCGCCAAGTAATGGCTTTACTTCTTACTCGACACCAATCTCTTTCTAATTGAAGAAAGTCAACTTTATCTTGACTACGCTCAACTAACCATCTTTTTAGAAGCTCTTGTGGTACAAATAAATGTTGTATAATCAACCATATTAGTGAACATGCTACTAGCGTCCCGGAAAATAATGACTTTATTAAATGCATTGCCATAAACTTTATGAATCATAAACCGGACAATTGGTGTTAAATTTTATAATCACCTAACTTTAAACACATGTTCAAATTCAAAAATTTCAATAAATTCAAGCTTATGATCCACTTTTTGAAATATATAAATCGATAAAAAATGCAGTCGAAAAAATAAAAAACTTTATTAAACTGATAGTTCTTTGTATAGTATGCTGTTGCAGTTTGATATGTTGCATGCAGTCCAATGTTTTGCTTTAGCTTACACAATAAGAAACTTTGAAAGAAAACAATTAACGATGCCATGGTAAAAAAAAGTAAAACAGCAATAAAGTGATTGATAAGTCAACCATGAACAAACAGTAGATTAAACTTATCATGCGCATATAGAGAGAATGTTCGCAAATCGTTCTCATAGGTTTAACAGTTTAATCTAGTAAACAAGGTCTTTTTGTCTGGGCAATTATTGTTCTAAGGTTACTATAATAATTTAAAACTTGATGAGCAATTTCTAGTTTTAAGGAAATTCCATTCTAAATATTCCAGATTTTTTTTTAATATTATAAAAAATTGATTCTTATAGTTCAAAAATTTTTTTCGACTGATTTGTTTTAATATATGGGTTAAGCTCAACTGGTCCACTTTTAACTACTTTAGATTAGTATTTATTGTGAATGTGAGCTAGGTTGAACGAAAAAGCAAAAAAATTTCGTTTCAAAATTGGAAGAAACAACTTTCTTGGTGGAAAATGGGTTGTTGTTTTTATTTTTTTATTATTCAAAGAATTAAACCTTACAAGGTTAATGGGATAAATATAATTTTCCCATGTCAAAATATTACTTTTAATAATGTCGCGCAAATTAACCCTATGTATATAAAACCAACGTTATTGACCACTTCAGATAAGAATTAAACCAAAGGTAAATTGAGCATATCTGAACTTAGCAATAATTTTTTTTTCTTCTAAAGATCTATAATGATCAACTTATTATCTCTATTCGCTGAACTCGATATAAAATAAATGCTCAATTGGTAAATTAGGACACATTTATAAATATATATATATATATATATATATATATATATATATATATATATATATATATATATATATATATATATATATATATATATATGTATATATATATATATATATATATATATATATATACATATATATATATATATATATATATATATGTATATATATATATATATATATATATATATATATATATACATATATATATATATATATATATATATATATATATATATATATATATATATATATATATATATATATATATATATATATATATATATATATATATATATATATATATATAAACGTTTCTGGTCTACATAATAAAGAATTAACATAAATAAATATATGCATAACAATGATTAATTATCGCTAAAATAGTAACCAGTTATTTAGAAAAATTGAAATAATTTTACAATAAAAATTGAAATAATTTCACTCTGTGTCGGAGTGAATAAAGTTAATTAAAATTAATATATTATGATTCTAATCCTTGACATTATATATATATATATATATATATATATAATATATATATATATATATATATATATATATATATATATTTATATTTTGAGCAGCCGTGGCGCAGTGGTCAGAGTTCTGGCTCAGAACCCAGAGGTCCAGGGTTCGACGCCAGCTCCAGCCCAACAAGCGACATTGGTACGAAAGGAGGCGTGAACTTCCTGTTAAATGCTCTCCCGCGGTGCTCCATGATAAGACCGTAAGGACTTCTGGGAGCACCTAAATACATACAATATATATATATATATATATATATATATATATATATATATATATATATATATATATATATATATATATATATATATATATATAAACAAAAAACAGACACGGCACTCCCCTCCTTTGAAATCTCTTCGGGACGCACCTTCATCACTTTTATAGATTGAACAAACGTTAGCTAATTTTAATGTATTAAAAAATATTCTTTTACTTATCGAAAGTTTAAAAATATAAATTAAAGGTTTTATTATGCTTTTCTTTTAATTTAAAATGGTTATATTATTTTATATTCCGTTGCAACATTTCGATAAGTTTTAAAGTTAAGAAAGCATCCTTCATTTTTTCCACTTTCCACAAGAAAAATTCTTATTAGAAAATTAATTAAGATTATTACAATAATAACATTTTCTTTCATCATCATCTTTATTATTTTTATTTTCCTTGTTCAAGTGGTTAACGTGTAAAACGAAAGCATCTACACATATATAATTTTTAAAAAAATCATAAAATGTTTTAAAGTTTTGTGGTAAAAAACGATTTATTGTATGTAAAAAATGTTTTTTAAAACCTTCTGTCAACATAACAACAAATTGATGATTATAAGACATATTTTCTGATCTCGTAAATTCGTATCGAAAAAAAATATCCCACACATCGTTATCAAAAAATTATCCTGACCATCTTTATACAAATATTCTTCTTTTAATTCACATTCTTCACATACAAATGGTTGAAATTCTTTAGCTCGAATAATCAATTCTTCCAACGTAAACGGACAAATTTCATTGTGTGATAAAAATATTTCCATTAATTCATTTACTTTTTTTTCTGTTAATTCCATCTAAAAAAATATTTTTTTTCATTTATATAATTATAAACACATTATAATAAAAATCATAGCTTTATATTTGATTTTTGTAACACTCAAAATATTGTATATCACTTATATAATCATCATTCAAATATTTAACTTGATTATCAAATCTAATTAACATTTTATGTAATTTATAAATTACAAGGTATCTATTATACGCTAAATTGTTTTTTAATTTCAATTTTAGATAATCATTGTTTTCTTCAATTTCTTCTTCTTTTTTCACATGACGTAACTGTTTGTAATAACACATTCTTTCTTTCTTTGTATATTAGATATTTTGTCAGAATAACAAATATCTCGTAACTCTTTCATTTCAAGATACAATCTTGCAGTAGAAAAACTAAATTTTTGATATAAATCAAATAAACATTTATGATGCAAATCGAAAATACGTTTTTGGTTTAACGTACTAACATAATAACATTTGCCAAGTAATAAATTCTTATACTTTGTTTTAATACTTTTTATTAAACCATTATAATCTATCATTTCATTATAATCATCAATATCAGCCAATTGTTGTAAAGTTTGAATTTTTTCGAGTAATTTGGCTCTATTTGAACTTCATTTTCTTCTTCTTCTATCTTTTGTTTTTTTTGATCTGATGGTTTACAAATTGGATCTGACATTATTAGTTATCTAAAAAAAATTATTTCAAAGATAATAAATTACGACATTTTTCAAAATTATTATGTAACAACTCCCTTAACAATTTTCCTATTCTATTCATTACATTCATCTTTTTTTCAAGTAATTCTTTACAATTTGTTAATTGTATACAATTTATACTATACTGATGATACAAATCTAATACAATGTCGGTATATAAATGTAAAAGTTCAAGTCCTTCAACAGATACATTATGTTTATACTTGATCATATCCACATTTCTATCAAATTTTTCAAAAGCTTCTTTAACACATTTGTATTGATCACGATCAAAACTTTCGCTAACAGCAAATAGTTGTAACTGTTGCAATTCTTCAATATGTTCATCTTTTAATTTATTCTTCATCATTTTTTTTATTATCTTTATCATCTAAAAAAATATTATAATAAAAACATATTACAAAATAATTAAGAATCAGCAATTAATATCAAATCCATTTTATTAATTAAAAAAAATAATTCGGAACGTATTTTTCTTTTTAGTTTTTCAACTAGTTCTGTTATTGTCGGATATTGAAATTCGTATACATAATTTTCTAATTTTTGTTTTTTAGCACAACACGGCCAATCGTCTTCATCTTTTATAAATTCAATAAACGATTCATTTCTTTTCTTTTGATACTCTTTTTCTTTTTTTATTTTATTTTGTAAACGATCAATAGATTTATTACATTTGATAATCAACTTTAAACATACTTTCAAATATAGATTAATAGTACTTTTATCGTATATATATTTATCTTTATCGCTATTCAAATTATCACAAACAGAAGAATTGAATTTTTTTATATCTTCAATAGAATATTCATTATGTATTCCTTTTAAAAATTCAACCAACTTGTCACATTGATCAGCCAACTCTTCATCTTTTTCTTTTAATATTGCTATCGTGTTATACAACTTTTTTTATTAGTTACCTAAAAAAAATTACAAAAAAATACAATAAAAAATTAATTAATTTTACATTTAATAAAAAGAGAATCTTCTACAATATAATTTAAAAGATCAGTTTTTTTTATAAATCTTCCAAATCCAAAAGCAGGATTCATTTGATCTTTATTAGGTCTTTGAAAAGAAACACTGTCATTGGTTATAAACGATTTTTTAAATTTTTTCCCTCCCAATAATGATATAGTTCCTCTTTTATCACTAAACGGCCATTTTAAAACAGCATCATAAATGTGAGACATTAAAACAACAAATATACCAATATAGTCACCATGTATCATTTCATTATTTAAATTGATATCAACATTGAAATTAATTCTCATTGACATTTTATAATTTTTATAAAAAAACGGTGCAGAATGATAAGTAGAATAATAACCATTCGAATTAAGATTCATTCATCTCACTATATCTTTAATCATAAAGATCTTTTGACCGTCAGGTAAACCAGTTGGTACTAAATTTTTCAATCTAAATTTTTTAATTCTTCTTTTATTTTTTATTTTAAATCAATTTTGTTGTTATCAAATTCAATTTTACATTGATCACTTTGACACTGATTACCATTATATACAATAAATTTGCAATTATTGTCCTTCTCAATCAGTTTTACATTTTCCACATCTTTTATCAAATTTTTTTCACCGTTCTCTATATTATTAATAACTTGCTCAACCATTTCAATAAATTTATTAGACATCTAAAAAAAAAAAATTACAAAAGAATTATATAAAAAAATATTAAAGTCCTGTCGAACCAAAACCTCCCTTTCTTTCATTATCAGACAACATGGACTGTATTTCCATTTGACTATTTTTATTTTTATCTACAGTCCATGAAATTCTTTCTGCAAAAAAAAACAGGTACAAAAGTCATTTGTGCAATAGATTGTCCTACAGTAACAGTAAATGCTTCAATAGACGAATTATAAAGTATAACACGAATTTCGTCTCTATAATCAGAATCGATAATTCCAGGCAAATTCAATATGTAACACCATGATTTAAAGCTAAACCTGA